TTTCTGAACTCTTCATTCTGTTCTATTGATCTATTAGTCTATTTTTACAACAATACCTTATTTTCTTGATTACTGTAGCTTTATAGTATGTCTTTAAATCAGGTAGTGTTAATCTTCCAAATATGTTTTTCTTTTTTGAAATTGTTTGGACAGTTGTCCTAGATCCTTTACATCCACAAGAGTTTAAAAATGTTACTCAATTTATAGTCTCCCCTCCCTGCCAAAACTCCCCACATGTAGTTTTTCATTTGGTAATGTACTGTATAAAAATATTTATATATTAACTTCTGCTTCTATTTATGATGAGGTCCCTTATACCACACAACTCCTGCTGTTATAAACTACCATAAAATTAAAAAAAAAAAAACTCCACTAATATAACTGAAGGCATTGGGGGACCACAAAGAAAGCCAGGATTTAGGGGACCAGACTGACACAGACAAGAGCGTAAAAGCCTAACAGGCTTGTAATTGGAGTCCCAATAGGAGGGAGGAGAGAGAATGGGACAGAATTGATACTTGGAGAGAGAATGGCTGAGAACTTTCCAAAATAGGAAACAAATCAAATCACAGATTAAAGAAGCTCTATAAAATGAAACCTGGATAAATGGAAAGAAAATTACTCCTAGCCCATGATGGCGCAGCTTCTGAAAGACCAAATCAAAGACAGAGTTTAACAACAGTGACAGAAAATAGGCACATTACCTTCAAAAGAGGTACACTGAGACAAGAAACCACTTTTTAAATTAGGAATAATGGAAGAAAAAAGAAAAGGAAATTTTAAAGCATTGAAAGAAAACAACTTAAAACTTAGAATTTTGTATCCAGTGAAATATTTCTTTAAAAATGAAGGGGAAATAAAGAAATTTCAAAACAACAATAGCAATAAGAGTTCGTCACCAGCAGAATAGCATTTACAATATTAAGCGAGTTCTTTAAATGGAAGGAAAGTGATAGCAGATGGAAGCACAGCAATGTAGAAAGGAATCAAGAGAACCAGAAATACAAACGTGTGGGTGAATACAGAGGCATACTGCATAGTTAAAACAACAATAATAATATTTTGTACAGTTTAAAATATATGTAGATTTAGAATATGTATTAACAGTCACACAAAAGAAAGAGGGAGTAAATGTAGTTTAAATGTTAAAGAGTCCTTGTATTGTCTGGGAGGTTGTAAAAGTAATAATTTAAAGTAGATATTAATAATTCAAGGATGTATATTATAATCTCCAGTATAACTCTAAATGGATAATGAAAATATGTAGAAATAATAAGTTAATGAAGAAGGAAAAGTTTAATAATAAAAAAGTACTTAATCCAAAAGAAATGTAAGAAAGAAACAAGAGAATGGAAATGAGACAATAGAAAGAAAGAACAAAGAATAATACAGTAGGGGTATATCCTTATTTTAGTCTGTTCAGGCTGCTGTAATAAAATATAAACTGGGTGGCTTCTAACTAGCAGAAATTTGTTTCTCAGTTATGGAGGTCGGCAAGTCCAAGATCAAGGTGCTGCCAAATTTGAAGCCTGGTGAGGGCCTGCTGCCTGGACGGCCATCTTTTTGATGTAACTCACAAAGCAGGCGGGATGAGGGATGGCTCTGGCGCCTCTTTATAAGGACACTAATCCCATTCGTTAAGGCTCTGCCCTGATGACCCAATCGCCCTCAAAGGCCCCATCTCTAATACCGTCACACTGGGGTTAGGTTTCAATGTACAAATTTTGGAAGGACACATGCAGAACATAGTATTCCATCCTTGACTTTCCAAAATTCATGTCCTTCTTGCATCCAAAGGACATTCATTCCATGCTAACAGTCCCCAGAATCTTAACTAGTTCTAGCATCAACTCAAAAATGTAAAGTCCAAAGTCACATTTAAACATCATCTAAATCAGATTTGGTTGCGACTCAAGGTACAATTTACTCTAGGACAAATTGCTCTTCAGATATGAACCTGTGAAACTGGGCATGTTATGTGCTTCCCAAATACAACAGTGGGAGAAGAACAGATAGACATTCCCACTCCAAAGGGAGAACAGGAAAGAAGAAATGAGTAATAGATGCTGCCCAAGTCCAAAACCCAACAGGGCAAACAATATTAAATCTTAAGGCTCAAGAATAATCCTCTTCGTGTTGATGTCCCACCCGTTGGACACACTGGGGTGGCAGACCTGTCCCCACAGTTTGGGCAGCCCCATCCCTGTGGCAGCTCTGTGCTGGTTGTGCCCTGGATCCCGGGGGCTGGAGTCACATGCTAGTTGCTCTACTCATCCGGGTCAAGGGAGAGGCCTGACCCCGATAGCTCTTCTGAGCATCGTCCTAACAGACTCTCTGTGGTGTGTCTACACCTGCTGGGGTTTTTACACTCTGGGCCTGTGATGGGAGAGGCTTCCCTGATGATTCCTGAATTGCCTTCAGGGTCATTTTCCCATTGTCTCGGACCATAGGTCCTGGCTTTTGTCTAGCTGGCCGACTAATATCCTTATATCAGACAGTTGTTTGGCCGCACCCTTGGCATTCTCTCTGCGCAGGCTTTCTCACTCTTTTCCATATGGATGGACTGAGAATTTTCCAAATCTTTAAGTTCTGCTTCCATTTGATTAGCAATTCTATCTTTAAATTATTTCTCTCTTCTCAAATTTTACTATAAGCCATCAAAGGAACCAGACTGCTTCTTTAATACTTTGCTTAGATATTTCCTCAGCCAAAAATTTAATTTCATTGCTCACAAGTTCTACCTGCAACAAAACACTAGGATATGAACACAATTCATGCAAGTTCTTTGCCACTTTGTAACAAGGATGGCCTTTCTTTCAGTTTCCAATAACATGTTCCTCTTTCTGCCTGCGACCACACCAGAATGGCCTTTACTGTCCCTATTTCCACCCATATTCTGTTCAGGATCACTTAGGTATTCTTGGAGAAGACTGAGGCTTTCCCTACTGCTCTACTCTTCTCTCTGAGCCCTCACTGGAATCACTTTTAAAGTTCTGTTCATGGCACTTTAGGCTTTTTTTAGCATGCGCCTGCTGGCAGTTTGGATGTGCCAAAGAGAAGCCATAAAGTGCTTCCTTTAAGTGAAAAGGTAACAGTTCTTGACTTAATAAGGAAAGAAAAACACCTGCATGCTGAGGTTGTTCAGATGTACAGTAAAAATGAACCTTCTATCTGAAACTGTGAAGGAAAACAATTCATGCTAGCTTTGCTGTCACATTTCAAAATGTAAAATTTACAGCCCCAGGGAGTGATAAATGCTTAGTTAAGACGGAAAGGCATTAGATTTGTGAGTGGAAGAAATGTGTTCCAGTCAAAGGCATTTGGGTTTGGTGCTGTCTCAGGGTTCAGGCATCCACTTGGAACGTGTCCCCCACAGAGAAGGGGGGACTATTGTATTTCTGGACCCATAGGCTCTTTCCTGGTTCCTTTAGGCCTCCTAAGAATCGCAGGCTCTCTTCTCTAAAATGCATCATAAAGGACCAGCAATGCACTTTATCTGGGCTTTGTCTGCTCTTATGGAAGGGAAGTTTAATTCAATGTTTTAATTTGCTGAGGCTCCCACAGGGTAGATGGATGGAAAAAATAGGAATTGGAGGAAACCAATATTTTGTTTATTTCATTCAATTCTCAAAGGAGCTGGTGAGGTGCCTAAGATGATTTCCCTCTCTAGAAGAAGAATGCAAGGTCCAGGGAGATAACGGCACTGGAGCCCAAGTCTGCCCCTGCCCTGCCTCGCTTGACAACCCCACGCTGTGACTGAAGGAAGGGCTCATCAGCGCAGAGAATGGGGAATGTGTGAGAGTCAGGAGAGCGTGAACCACTGGCAAGGTTCTATGACACACACATTAAGTCATGATTCCCTAAAAGCCTTTCAGAAACAGTTTGTCTTTATTAGTCAAGTTTTTACTTACACATATTTTTAGAAAGCATGAAAGTATCTCAAATTGTTGACCATTATTTATTGGACACTGACAATCTTCTAGCCTGTGTTCACTTTTTCCTTCTGTGTAATATGTAATTTGGTACGCATGTAATTTCAAATTTCAAATTACATGAGCCCATTTGTAGTATGGTGTTTAATAAATGGAATGGGAGCCTCAACTACATTTTTTTCCTTTTAAAATAGATCAGTAACACTTTAACTTTGTTTTTCTTAAATTCAGTTCTTAACAGGAGGGCTTTTTATTATTTCAGATGGAGTGAGGTTACACTACTGGGTGGCAGAAAAGAGTCCTTTAACTTTTAGGAACGCTGTTCTCGGTTAGTTCCCAGGCCATTTTACTCGGGGCGGGGCGGAGGTGGGCGCGGCGGCGGCCGGGTCAGCGCAGCGCGGTCGCGGCTGCGCCATCCCTGCACTTCCCGGCGCGCGGCAGGGACCGGCGGGGACGCGAGCCGCAGACTGCGGGCGGACGCGGGGAGGCAGACGCTCGGCCGGCAGGCGCCTCTCCTGACCGCTGCAGGAAAGGCAGACGCTTGCCCTGGGCCAGCCAGGTAAGGCAAAGATTGCTGTTGAGCTTGCTGTTACTGAGGGCGCACAGAACCTTGCCCCCTGCGGAATTCGGTGGGGTGACCCGGGTCTGCCAGGGGTGTCCTAAAAGAGGGGAGATGGGTTTGCATTTTTCCTAAAAAGGAAAGGAGTCTTCTCTCTAGCACTTCGTTTGATGTAGGATTCAACTGGTTGAAATAATATTTCAACAGGTAGCAGAGAGCGCTCACGTGGGTAGATTTGGGGCGCCGCGGCGCTTTCCACCCCTCGGGACCCTGCCTCTGGCGAGCCTAACCTGTGCTTTCCATTCCGCTTTCCAGCTCCCTGAGTCCCCAGTGACAGGGGGCCGTAGAGTGGCCGGGAGCTTTCCTCCCCTGGAGAAACTACAGAAGCGCTTGGAGCAGCGAAGCGACTGTCGGGCGCGGGTCCGCGCGGCGCGGGCTTTGGGGCCGCTGAGCCGGGCGCTAGGCCGTCGAGGACGCGGGGTGGTCGGCTCCCCTCCCTGGCCGCCGAGATGCACAACGCCTCGTTCCTGGAGCCCGGGCCCGCGAACGCATCGTGCAGGGGCCCGGCGCTGGGCTGCGCCAACGCGTCGAGCCTGGCGCCGCTGCCTTCGCAGCTGGCTGTGGCGGTGCCGGTAGTGTACTCGGCGATCTGCGCCGTGGGGCTGGCGGGCAACTCCGCGGTGCTGTACGTGTTGCTGCGGGCGCCCCGCAAGAAGACCGTCACCAACCTGTTCATCCTCAATCTGGCCATCGCCGACGAGCTGTTCACGCTGGTGCTGCCCATCAACATCGCCGACTTCCTGCTGCGGCGGTGGCCCTTCGGGGAGATCATGTGCAAGCTCATCGTGGCCATCGACCAGTACAACACCTTCTCCAGCCTCTACTTCCTCGCCGTCATGAGCGCCGACCGCTACCTGGTGGTGCTGGCCACCGCCCGGTCGCGCCGCGTGGCTGGCCGCACCTACGGCGCCGCGCGCGCGGTGAGCCTGGCTGTGTGGGGGCTCGTCACCCTGGTCGTGCTGCCCTTCGCCGTCTTCGCCCAGCTTGACGACGAGCAGGGCCGGCGCCAGTGCGTGCTGGTCTTCCCGCAGCCGGAGGCCTTCTGGTGGCGGGCGAGCCGCCTCTACACGCTCGTGCTGGGCTTCGCCATCCCGGTGTCCACCATCTGCGTGCTCTACGCCGCCCTGCTGTGCCGGCTGCGCGCCATGCGGCTGGACAGCCACGCCAAGTCCCTGGAGCGCGCTAAGAAGCGGGTCACCCACCTGGTGGTGGCGATCGTGGCCGTGTGCCTCGTCTGCTGGACGCCCTACCACCTGAGCACCGTGGTGGCGCTCACCGCCGACCTCCCGCAGACGCCGCTCGTCATCGCCATCTCCTACTTCATCACTAGCCTGAGCTACGCCAACAGCTGCCTCAACCCCTTCCTCTACGCCTTCCTGGACGACGGCTTCCGCAGGAGCCTCCGCCAGCTCATGGCCTGCCGCCCGGCCGCCTGACGCCCCGGCCACAGTGCGCACCCGACGGGCGCCCTCAGCCTCCCCAGGAAACTTGCCTGGGCCTCAGCCCGGCCTAACACGTTGGAGGCGCTGTGACTGCGCCCCAAATTTGACTTTGCCCAGCCTTCCATGCGACGCCAGTACAGGCCGAATGTGAGGACCGCTGCGACTGCGAACACCGCACCGGCCTCTCCTTAAGGCTCAAGGGCTCGAGTCAACCCTCGGACTTGGCACGGGGCGAGTAGGGTGGAGGGGGAGGGCGGTATTGCTGGGAAGCGCCCCACCTCGCCCTTCCCCGGGCTCTGAGGCCCTGGCAGGAGCCCTGGGCGCAGGGCGTGGGGGGGTGAGGGGAGGCCCGGGGATGCCGCGAGCGTCCCCCGGCGTCGGCTTCGCACTCGAGTCTGCGCTTCGCTTCTCCGCTTTCGGGCCGCGACTGTCCGGGTGCCCCCTCCTCCTCGGCGCCCTGACCGCTCCGACCGCTAGAGAAGACGGCCAAGGCGCCTGCGTTCCGCGCCCTCGCCTCTGAGAGGCGCCGGAGCGCGAGGGAACAGCCGCCCGGGCCGCCAGGGCCTCTGCGACTGGGGAAAACGGAGCGACGAGGGAGCCCCGCGGGCTGTGTGCGCGGCGGAGGTGCCGGGTGTGCGGGCGGCGGCGGTGCGGGGTGCCCTGCCCGAGACTGCCCAGGCTACGTCAAGAACAGCGATACTTTCCCCACTCTGCCCCAGCCCCTTCTTTCCTCGCCTTCCCCTCTGTTTTCCCTGAAAATGCTGCGTGCCGAAGACTCTGCCGGGCCCAGCCCGCCGGGCTCCAGGAGGGGCAGGAGCCGGGCAGAGGTGCCCCCTCAAGCCAGCTGCGCAGCGCCCGGCGTGCGGAGATGGAGCGCGGCTTTTGCGGTTGAGCGCGCCGGCTGCCTGCCGTGTACACCGCGGGGTACACTCGTCCTCGCTGCTTCATATGAAGGTGCCCAGTGCCCCGGCACCCCTCTGCCCAGTCAGCCTCTCATGCGGCTTAGACCCGACCCGTTCGTTGTAACCGTTTATGTGCATGCTGTCGTTCAGGTCTCAGAACTTTATAAATAATATACACATCCTAATCTCACAAGCAACCGTGAGGATCAGATAAGATAAAAAGAAATGCGATCTAGTGCCCCTTTCTTCCTCGTCTCCTCTATGCCCCGCCTCCCTCTTAGGGGAGGGCGGGAAGCTGGGATTACTGACCCCTCAGACTGCCTTGCGCGGGACCCCTTTGCACGGGGTGGCTGCGGAGTGCGTGAGCTTCATTCCTAACCCAGACCGCATCTAGCAGGTGGCCCCTGTAAACCTGCTAAATACCCGGTTCCGATCTCACAAGGGAGCCCCAGCAGCGTCCTGCCTTCATCTTATCTTCACTGGGGCGAGACAAAAGTGGATTCAGAGAGCGGACTGGCACTCGCGTTCGCAGAGCCTCTGCCGTTCACACCTGAGACATGAGGGCGGAACATTAGCCAGACTCTGATCTTCGATTATAGTGTTTTAAAAGGTATTATTCTTTGGAATGAATTCCAAACAGGAATGAACATTACTAAAAATGTTTGTTTCCTGTGGACAGGCTCAGTGTTATGTGTGAGAAAGAGTGTGAGTGTTGCAGCCCGTTTTGTTTACCTAGGTTGATTGGCATCTTCAATCAATTTCTCAAGTATTTAGTTTTAAAATACTTTTTAGGAAATATATGGAAGGAAAAAACTCTCCCTTAAGGGGTGGGGAGCAAACTAACTCCCTCTCTGATTTGGGTGAATGAGAATTGCTTCCTTAGCTCTCAGCATTATTAGGAACATTGAGATAATTCATAGCTATTAGTTTAGAAGATGTAAATTTGGAAACCTTCTGCCTTGAGTGGCAAATGATAGTAAATTGTTCAAAATAAAGGTTTTCATCTCCAACGCATTTTGAGTGGTGGGCCTGGGGCATTTGAGCGGGCCTCCGCAGGAGGGCTTCAGAGGCCTCGAGGAATTCATTTTAGTATCTTTCACATTTGTAGGAAACTTTCTATTGATTTTCTTTAAAACACTTAAAATTCTTTTATGAATTCTCTTTTCAAAGGTTTAATTTTAATTTCAAAAATTTAATCTTTAAATTTAGAGTAAGCCCTAGGTTATCTAAGGTTAAGGACAAAAGGTAAAGTAGACATTTGGCCACAAATATGGCCAGGTTGATTGTCTGGATTCGAACCTTCATCTGTCTTAGTAAACTCAGAACTGGACACAGGTGAGGGAGAGCCTAGTGATCCATCCGGCCACTGCATCGTCCGGACTGTAAATTGACCTGGAGCTGTCTCAGATCTGCGGAGACGACTCCTGTCTTCCAGAGCAAGGCATGGGTTGGCATTTTAGTATGCATGTGGGATCGGTTTCACCCAGTCTCTCTAAATCATTGGATTTCTAGGTTGTTGTCCTTCATAGGTGCATGCATAAGTCCAGATTGTACGTCTCCAACTTCCTTTGCATGTCTTAGGGTATAGGTAGAATAAATATGCAAATAAACCAGGCACAAGTAGAATTTATTTACATCATTATATTGCTGTTTTTAATGCTGTGTTGAATTCTTGCAGTCTTTGTGTAAACTATATTGTTTGTTTTTTACCACTTCAGATATTTAAAAATGTCTATTTGCTTTTACTTAATTTAGTACAGTTATGTGATCTATGTGCTTATGTTTTCTTGAGAAATGCAGAAACTCTGCTAGTCCATTGCCTGGAGCTCAGTTTAAAATAAAAGCTGAAACATTCTGTGTGATAAATGAATATTCTATTTCCTGAGAATGTGGTATCCACAATTCATTCACATAAGCGTTTATGCATTATTAGTTTTTAAAAATACAGCTTTCATTGGAAAATTATATAGTGAATAAACAATGAATAAATGGAAATATCTGACAGGACAAGATTAAGAATGACCCCCCCCTTTTAATTAGGTGGATTGTGAAAATGATGCAGAGCTACTGATTGACACAGAGATTCTATAACTTATGCTGGGCAAGGAAAGGATGATACGTTTTGATCATATAATTACAAACCTAATTTCTTGAATATTTGAGCAGCTGTGTGGAGGGGGTGAGAAAGGAAGAGAAATTGTTTAAATTACAAGCATGCACATTGCTATTTCAGTTAGCAGTATGCAGAAACATGGCACAGACATGTGCAAGGTGGAGAATCTTGCCTGAAAAACCCCACAAGCTTATTATATACTCACCTTTCCTCAGCGACATTCTGGGAAAACAATGATGACAAACAATAACCCACCACGGATAGTAATCATCTATGCTTATGCATATTAGGAAAGAGATCAGAGAATTCTGCCCAGATGTCCTTTTATTCCCACAGCTTTGGGTCTGACACTGTGGTCCCATTTTACATATAAAGAAAGTGAGGTACCAGAAGTGAATCGGTTTAGCCAGGCCTACAGGCACCAGTGAAGACCAATCAGAGCCATCTAGGAACTGTCTCATTCCATTTGGGCAGAGATGGAGTTGGTTACAGTATGTAATCTGGAAATGTTAGGCTATAGAAAACATTGATACCTCTTAAATATTTACTGGATCAAGCAAGTATACCTACTATTACATGATGTGAGACAAAGGGAGGGTAAGCTTTAATAATAAAACTTCAATACTAACTCAGAGCCTTACAAAGTATATGGGGTTGTTAAGAGTCATACGAGAATAAAAGTTCCTACCAGAGCTGGTGCACGAAGGAGCCATGTGCATGGCAGTCTCCACGCTTCATGCATGTGGCGTCGTGCTCCGGAGGCACCGTGTACATAAAATACAATGTTGATGGTGCCCTATTTATATAGAATGGAGTTTTACAATAAATGACACTGTCTTTGAATTTAGGGCAAGGTACATTTATTTGTTTTTACCATATCTCATAGGGTTATATGATGACATCATACCACATCGATTAAGAGGGAAAAAAAAAAACGCAGGAAAAGGGAAGCATAGTTAAAATGATTCTTTCAGAAACTCTGTTAGAATAGGTGAACTGCAGGCTTCCCACAGCCCACAACAGGATTTCTCTTTTGACAAACACCGCCTGGCAACGAGAGCCTCGAGTGCAGCCCTGCACTCAGACCAGACGCCCGGGGGGGCCGCAGCCTGGGGGGCAGCTCAGCATCCCTCAGTGGAATCTCCGTCCTCTTACAAAGACTGTGTGACTGGAAGATCATCCTGCTTCCATTCCGAGGTGTCCTGAGGACTGGTGCCAATGACTGCAATAATCAAGCCACCACACACCACGGAAAAGGTGGGTGGAATCCCACTATCGAATGGAGTGTAGTCAACCATGTGGGAGAAATTGTGAGTGTTCCCAAAGGTGAGGGGCTTGTCATTTATGCATGCTAAATAGTAACAACAAAATGGATATTTTAAATGGGTCATCCACTGGGCAAAGTAGCTTACTTAGGTAGCAATGAATTACCTGGTATGGGAAAAAAGGCTTAGCCCTATTCAGTCTAGGTGGTATGAATGTAGCAACAAATTTGAAAAGATGTGAATGGTTACACCTGCAAAAGTACTGAATATATTAGCCACATGTCCCCACATAACACTGCTTGGATTCCTTTAACTCCTCAATTCCAATGAAAATACCACTCCTTATGCTACATTTCTACTTGTTCTCTTTACAGAGGAATTCCAGGGGTTCTAGTTAAAAGGTAGTTTCTCACATAATTCCTAAAGAAATTGCATCTTGGTTTTATCATTACAATTTGTTATAATGGTCGAAGTTTACAGTATATCTTTAAACTCATTTATTTAAAATACAAACATATTTTAAATGTACAAAGTATGTTAAGTAATGAGGTTTCTTGTGATTTTTATAACTTCCAGTTGAAAGGAAGAATACATCTACATAACTTGTCTGTTGAATCTTTCACATGGTAATGAAGACAATAATCCCTTCAACTTTTTGGATGGACTTCCATTTACTACAAATTTTCAGCTCTATTTGTTTTAACTTTTTATGTT